ATATATATACTGTCATAACAATTGTTATATAATAACAATTTACTTACCCAGGTCCGTCAATATCCTGTATAAAGTGACATAATGGAATATGATGCGCACTCGAACTAAATACATTCTTGATTTTACAGAAAAAGGAAAATAGATGTGTAAAATGACAGTGGATTTCACATTGCAGAAGCAATAACCACAGCCACATAAGAATCATCGCAAGTCAATTGGAAAAGTATGTTTCAGACGAAACCTTAAATATTTAGCCAAGCATCCAGAATTGAAGTGAGGTACATGTCCTCTGTATCAGTGAGATTTTGATAATCTTACATTCAATTTAATGGACCTTACCATTGAGCCCACTACTTTGATGTTACTAAAGGTGCCGGACATTGAACAGTGTACCACACTTCCATTAGGTGGAGTATGCCCGCGTTTCTACTTAAAATGACTTGTCTGACATGGTCCATTGTCCACTACATGCCAAAATGAGCTATCCTACTTTGCTGAACCATAGATTTTTTTGTATGTACTATATGTTATCTGTAGATTTGTGTAAGTAGTTTGAAGGGTAGGTCCCATTCACCAAACAAGTTTTCTACTTGGATACCCTCAGGTAAAATTCAACATCAGAAGCCTGTTGCCTCATTATTATCGATGGAACAAATAAACAAAATACAAAATAAATAACAAATACTCTTCAAATTAAAATTATATCAGCTGGCGTTTGAATATATTTTGTTCTTCTGTTGTGCATTTGTTTTTTTTATTATTATTATTTGCTCTCTTTTTTGCGATGTGATGTGCCATCTCATTTCAAAAGGGCACAATTAAAAATCATTATTTTTTTTTTAATTGTCTGTTTTATATCTATATTTACTTCTCATAAAACTATCTATTGTCATCTTAAATCTTGAAATCGGACAAACCTTAATAACAGGAAATTTAATCTCACAATTGATACTCATTTTCTTGCCATTTTTGTCGTAAACTTCGATGCTTACGATGTCAGAAGCACTTCTTAACATCTCCCCTCCTCTGGAAATTGAATATACTAGTGATAATAATAATAATAACTTTATTGAATCGTACACTTTTATATCAGTGGCACACACTATCAAGTGGTGCGTTCACAATATAAACATTTTAAACAATACAGTACGTTAAAACCGTTACACTAAAGCACAGTATTGTAAGAAACACGTAGGCCTACAATACAAGAAAAACAGTAAAATGACAATTATTTAAGTTCAATTTAGCATTGAAAAGAACATTAAAAATAATAAAATTTTAAATTATGGCAGAAGAATGTTTGAATTATTTGTTTAAAAGACGAATATGCACACCGGAAATAAAAGAGTAATTACTGTTTAAATTCTTAAAACTCTTTTAAAATATAAGTGCAGGTATTTAAATAAATTTAAAAAGTTTTGAGCAGTTAAAAAATAGATAAAATACATTTAAAATATATAAAATTGATAAGAATTATTTTGTTTTTACATTCGCTAAAGTTGCAAGGACGTTGGTCTATTTTTAAAAAATTAAAGCTAGGCCTAATATAGTACAATATATATTTCAAACCAGTTGAGTTTTTCAAACGGTTTATTATTATTGGCAACTTACGTTGTTGTTACTTGTTTCAATTTCATGACATTAATAAGAGCTGCTGAAAACACGAATGGTCCATCTAAAATGCAAACGAAATGAGCTTAGCTGATTTTTTAGATCATGAGTCACATCTATTAAACAAAATTATTTAATTTAGTATGCGCATTTCTTTTTTAAACGCATTCAATAGAAAACTCTGTTCGTGTCTTGCATCTTATACGTATAAGATAAGGCTGACAAATTGTCTAAAAATGATGTAAACAACTGCTTTAATTGGAATCTATAAGACAAATGGCTAAATTATTCATAACATTTCTATACACACCTTCTTTTAAAGTCTCATCGTTTGAAGTCGTAAATGTGACACTATTCGGGTCCGATGTTAAATTATAGTTAACTACCTCCGGTGTATCTTCTGCAAAGTTTACTGTAATACAATATTTCTAATAATATAGCATTTACGTACATATACGGTACTCTCAAGGATTGTTAATAGTCACGTTATCCTATTCTGAGTTGCTTCTTGTAGTCTTTTCAGCACTAACTACTGTATCCTCTACTACTTATCCTTATTATCTCCGACAGGAGATATATGCTTTCTGTCGTGTAAGTTGGTGGGTATGTGGGTGTGTGTGGGTGTGTATGTGTGTCACGTTTTGGCGTTTTGTGTGTGCGTCTGTGAACCCATACCAACCGCTGACATACCTGTGAAGACACACCTGTTTAGAGATGACATACCCGCAATCGATGACGCCGCCAATTCTCAAAATAGCTTTAAACCAAAGATCTTATAAACACAAGATAGCGTTCTCCGCGATTTACGCGTGCAAATTCTGTAATAAGGCATGAATGGCGCCCTCTTGCTAAATTGGAAACTTTTGACCCTTGACCGCTCTGACCATACCGTACACCGCGGACTTTACCTTTAGGGTATCTGTGAACAGCAGAACAGGAACCATTTCAGATCCATGGCAACAGATAGGACGCCCTCTTCCAAAACTGATAACTTTTTCTCTTTGGTATAATAGCGCATGAATGGCGCCCTCTTGCTAAATTGGAAACTTTTGAACCTTGACCGACGCTTCTATTTGTTACGCGTAAATCGCGGAGAACGCTATCTTTTGTTTATACGATCTTTGCTTTAAACAGTGAGAGCTCCCTCTATATTATATCCCCTGGTGAAATATCTGAGCTTTTCATCAAAAGTCACCGTTAGGAATTTTTTCATAGAGAAGTTCATAGACACACGTTGTGTGTTGTAAAAATAAACAGCGGTATCTTGTGACATATTCGTACTCTGTTATGCAGTGGCCTTCACAATTTTAGGGTTGTTGCTAAACATCCCTTGCTTACTCACAGAAATAGCATTACACATATTTTTAACATAAAAAACGAAGATTAACTATGTCACCACTGTAAGGTTTTTTTTCAATGTCATCGGTTGTAGCCCCTTCACATGTATGGGTGTGTGTGTGTGTTCGAAATATGTAAACAAGACTGCACAGATAAAAATGAAAATAACAGGGAGTGTTAGGTATGGCCCAATGAAGGAATTATTAAATTTTTATGACGGCCCGGGGTAGGGTGTGGACGTGAGAACCAATTAAGGGATTTAAGAGCAAACACTACACCAGATATTTCAATATGTGTAAACTTATCTGAATGAAAATTTCCTGAATGTTTAACCAAGTTACAAGCAAGAAACTATTAAGTGTTGATGACGATCGGAATTCGAGTGTGAATTCGAGGGTAATTTTAAATTTAAATGTCGTGTGTGTTTGTTGCGTTTAAAATATCTGAAACGGCTGCACAGATGTAAATGGAACTTACAGGAGGTGTTAAGTATGACCCATTGATTATGGGGTGCCATACGCAGCAAAAGTCCATGTTAAAATCAAAATGTAATTGCAAAATTCAATGTCTAATTCATTTGACAACAACACTAGAAATGGACTTTTGCTGCGTATGGCACTAGACTTGCAAAATGTAAATCAAAACTAATCAGCCAAGCATGACGTGGGCCTGTTCCATTAATGATGGGGGAATCAGTTTTCGCCGCAGTCCAATGCCGTGAACAACGTTTCCCAGTGCGTCTTCTTAATGGTCAGGGTACCGCGATCACGAGCCCTATGCTTGGCATTATAGGATAGGCTTATGTGGGCTGGGAGTTGCAACAAGGTCTTGGACTAGGCCTCTATACTATAGTAGGAGGCCTAGTCTAGGCCTATCATATAGTAAAATTCTGTATGAGTAGTCATATGATTACAGGTTTACATTGTACCAAGATCGATATTACCGAAAGGTCCACTGATTAATCTCAGATAAGAAAGTATAATACATACTCCAAGTATTGAAATACACGCCATCGTGTTGGGATTCAATATTTCGACATTAATTATGTCATCATCAGGAATGATGATGACATAATTAATGTCGATGATGATGATGATGATGATGATGATGATGATGATGATGATGACATAATTAATGTCGAAATATTGAATCCCAACACGATGGCGTGTATTTCAATACTTGAAGATCGATATTAACGATCGCATTTATTTTTCATTGAAAATAAAAAGAAAGCTTTAAATAATTTAACTTAAGGATTTAAAATAATCCAAACATGTACGCTTAAATAAATAAATAAAATAAAAAATAAATAAATGAAGTTAACTTATAACACAAACAACGCGATAGGATATAAAATTTGAGAGAAGTTTTGGTATACTGTACTGTATTTCTGAAGTGCCATTCGTTTTTATTCTGAAGTGCCATTCGTTTTGGGGTTGCTACAATCAGGAGTTACAATCGATCCAACAAATATAAAGTACTATCTATTTCCTTACATTCGAAAAAGGAGGATTTTGGATGCTATATTTAAATTTGCTGGAGAATGAAAAATTAACTGTTAACTCCGTTGTTAGAGAACATAGTGTGGTACATGACTTTCGGACTGGCATAGTCCTTCAGTAGGCCTATGTACTCTAGGTGTAAATAAATACAGAGAATAGGCCAATTTTAGTGAGAACTAAACATGTTTTAATAACGTAGGGCCTATATACAATGCAAAGCAGATTGATCACAAAATCAGAAGCATGATTTCAAACATCAGAACCCAGCTTTTATTGTTTAAAACTGTCGGGGCCCAATTGAATGAAACTACGGTATTATAGTTTATATTATATATTTTTTTTTAAGTTTTTTTTATATTTTCAATGAAAAATAAATGCGATCGTTAATATTGACCTTGGTACAATGTAAACCTGTAATCATATGACTACTTATACAGAATTTTACTATATTATAGGCCTAGACTAGGACCAGGC